GGCGCGGGCACCGGGGAGCCCCGGGGAGCCCCGGGGAGCGGGGCCGCCCGCGGCATCGTGGGGGGAAGGTCTGAGCACCCCGCAACCGGGGGCAGCTCGGGGGGTCCTGGTGCATCCCGGTACCAGGGGCACCTTGGGGGATCTCGCTGTACCCCGGTACTGGGGACAGCTCGGGGGGTCCTGGTGCACTCCGGTACCAGGGGCACCTTGGGGGATCTCGCTGCACCCCGGTACTGGGGACAGCTCGGGGGGTCCCGGTGCACCCCGGTACCAGGGGCACCTTGGGGAATCTCGCTGCACCCCGCAACCGGGGGCAGCTCGGGGGGTCCCGGTGCACCCCGGTACCAGGGGCACCTTGGGGGATCTCGCTGCACCCCGCAACCGGGGGCAGCTCGGGGGGTCCCGGTGCACCCCGGTACTGGTGCCACCTTGGGGCATCTCACTGCATCCCGGTACCGGGGGCAGCTCTAGGGGGCCCGGTGACCCGCGGTGTCCTGGTACCGGGGCAGGAGGGAGCTGGGGGTCTCCATTGCCGGGGGTCCCTGGGGGCCGGGGGTGCTGCTGCCGGATGCAGTTGTGGCTCTGGGACCCCCCTGAGCTCGGTGTCCCCGCAGGTGACGCCGCCGAGGGACGGGGCCACGTGTCCCCTCGCAGCCAGCCATGTCGGAGCGAGCGGCCGAGGCGCTGGGCGCCGGGAGCGCCACCGCCGGCGCTGACACCGGCACCAGCCAGGAGCTGCTGCAGCGGCTGCGCGAGCTCGAGGTGCGCGGGGCGGCGCGGGACCCCCCCGGCACGGGGCTCGAGCCCCCAGCTAGCCGCGGCCACGAGGGTCCGGTAGCCAGGGCCACCAAGCAGCCGTGGGCAGCAGGCAGCCGTGGCCACCAGGCCGTCATGGCCCATGAAGCCAGGTAGACTTGGCCACCGTGGCCCGTGCCACGGGCCAGCAGGCACCTGTGGCCACCAGGCCATGGTGAAACCAAGGAGACGTGGCCACCATGGCCCACCAGGCAGCTGTGACCACCAATGCGATGGCCTTGGCGCAGTCACTTCAGAGGCAGGAGTGGCTGCAGCCCTGTCCCTGTGCCCGTCCCTCTGGTGCACCAGGGCAGGGAGGGCCCCGGTGTCCGGGCGCCGGATGCGCCGCCTCCGCCGTGTCCCCTGAGTGGCCACCGCTCTGTCCCCAGGCGGAGAACTCGGCGCTGGCCCAGGCCAACGAGAACCAGCGGGAGACCTACGAGCGCTGCCTGGACGAGGTGGGTGCCAGCGCGGCTGCCCCTGCGTGCGTGGGCACGCGTGTTTCGGGGCACGCACGTGTCTGCATGGCATGGGTGAATGCGTGTCCGTGTATGAGTGTGTGTGTGCCTACATGTGCATGTGTGTCTATGGGGGGAGTGCACACGCGTGTGTGTCTGCATGCACGTGCATGTGTCTACCTGTGTGCACATGCATGTGCATGTCTGTACGTGTACACACATGTGTCCACACTCATATGCATATGTGTATGCATGTGCATGTGATCGCACACGTGTGAATGTGTGTTTGCCTGTGCATGCATGTGCTTGTGTGTCTCCATGTGCACATGTGAGTGCAAGCACGTCTCTGCCTGTATATGCATGCGTGTGTGTGCGTGCGTGGATGTGCACATGCATGCATGTGTATGTGCACATGCATGTGTGTGTGTGCATGCATGTGTGTGTCCATGCATGTGTATGCACGTGTGTGTGCGGGTACTGGCCCGTGCCCACAGCCCCTCTCGCTGCCCAGGTCGCCAACCACGTGGTGCAGGCCCTGCTCAACCAGAAGGTGGGTGGCCTGGGGTGGCCGGCGGCGGCTGCACGGGCGCCGCGGGCGCCGCTCACGGCGCCGACCCGGCAGGACCTGCGGGAGGAATGCATCAAGCTGAAGAAAAGGGTCTTCGACCTGGAGCGCCAGAACCAGGCGCTCAGCGACCTCTTCCAGCAGAAGCTGCAGCTCTCGGCCGGCTCCCTGCCCCAGGTAGGGTCCCCGTGAGCCCCACGTCCCGGTGCCCGGTCCCGGCCGGTGTCACTCAGCGGCTCCGGCCCCTGCAGCTGCCCCTGCACCCGCCGCCGGCACCTGCGGACGCCCCGAGCAGCCCCCGGGCCGGCCCCGCGGAGCAGCCGCCTGCGCCGCTGCCCCCCGCCTGCTGCGGCCCCCCGGCTGAGGTAGGTCCTGCCGTGTCCCCGGCGATGTCCCCAGCCCCGCGGTGTCCTGCTCCATGGCTCCACGGCGTCCCCATCTCCTGGCCTACGGCACCCCCCATCCCTGCTCCTATGGCGTCTCCATCCCTGTCTCCATCCCCAGTCCTGCAGGTCCCCTCGCCAAGCCCTTCGTGTCCCCATCTCCACCCCCTTATGTCCCCATCTCTGAGCCCACAGTGTCCAAGCCCCCCGTGTCCCCTGTCCCCCCGCGACGCCCCTCAGCCCGTGTCACCCCGTGTCCCCGCAGGCGTCGCCGGGGGCCGCGGGCGCCGCGTCGCCGGCGCTGGCCGCGCTCTCGCCC